TCAATAAAGATCGAAACGTTGGCACGATAAAGAAAAAGTTTTTCTAAAACCTACGTCACACCAGACCGCACCTCACGATCTCCAAATAATCATTTTTTGAAGGAGATTTTACCACTACTATTAGATGACGTGTCCCGGATCTGTTCCCTCCAGTGTTCACCCGATTTAACTTCATTCGGTTATTTTCTTTGGGTCCATTTAAAAAACAGTGTTTACCCAATAATGACCCAGCAACCTCAGTTGATAAACTGCGGCAAAGGGTGGAAAATGCTTGTCAATCCATCTCCCTTGACTTTATCGCTCTGAGCACCGGTGAAGAGCGGTTAAAAAGAGCCAATCTTTGCATCTTTACGCAATTTCGAACCTGAAATGAGTTTAAAATATAGCAAACCAAATGACTGTTTTTTTCAAAGTTTTTGCCATAATTTTAGATTTTTTAAGTATATTTAAAATCCTATTTAACCATTGTTTTCAGCTCAAAAAATTCTTTAAAATGATGCGTCAGGATGTATAGGGGCGTATTTGAAAAGTGCCCAAGTTGAACTGGGCCGGAGTTAACATGTCTAATTTTTATCCAAAAAAGGTAAAAATTTGAAATTTGTCTAAAAATGATTAAACACCTATTTTTTGTTTTTGCGATAGCATCATTGGTTCAAGAGAAATTCAGCGGGCCATCTAAATAGGACACCCTGTATATTATTTGAAAGATCAATATGCACGTTTAATCTTCCTTGGTATTTTATAAACCCAGCAATTTTTAGAAAATCATAATCTAGCCTTACTACAATATATTTAAAATATATACGTGAATATTATTTGACACATCAATATTTTTAATAGAACAGAATTTTTTTATGTGTATATTATTTGAAAGATCAATATATACGTTTGATTNTTTTAGAAAAAACATAACGTAGGTTTACTACGATATATTTAAAACATATACGTGTATATTATTTGAAACATCAATATTTTGAATGGAACAGAATTTTTTTATATGTATATTATTTGAAAGATCAATATACACGTTTGATTCAATATCGATAAAAACATCGATGTTATTTTATAAACTGAACAATTTTTAGAAAAAATATTTAAAATATATACGTGTATATTATTTGAAACATCAATATTTTTGATAGAACAGAATTTTTTATATGTATATTATTTGAAAGGCCAATATACACGTTTGATTCAATATCTATAAAAACATCGATTTTTTTGTATGACATATGAACATATGCAATCATCGATGGTATTTTATAAACCTAGCAATTTTTACAAAAAACATAACCTACCTTTACTACGATATATTTAAAACATATACGTGTATATTATTTGAAACATCAATATTTTGANTGGCACGATAAAGAAAATGTTTTTCTGAAACCTACATCACACCAGACCGCATCTCACGATTTCTAAATAAATATCGATTAACGGTCACTAATCACCACACATCCATACACGTTTGATTAAATATCGATAAAAACATCGATGTTTTTTATATGAAATATCAATATTTGGAATCTTCGATGGTATTTTATATATTTAAAATATGTATGTCTATATTATTTGAAACATCAATATTTTTAATAGAACAGAATTTTTTTTATGGAACATTATTATCTGATAGAACACGCAAACCGTGATGATCGGAGACGACGATGCTTGCTATAATTGACATTTTGTTGGACAATTTAATTTTAATTTGTCAACGAGGCGACCTCTTGGAGGCAATTTTCCATGTGAACTTCCCCTCAACTAGATAATATCGGAAATTTTGTCACATCCCTTTACGCCCTCCCCCCTCAGCCGACCCGACCCGACCAACTAACAGTTTTAATCGATGACAAATGACAGTGATTTCACCCTGAAAATTGGGCCGGTGAGCGTCGAAGCGGCAATTATTTAAATTGCTCCAACATTCTGAGACGCCTTTCGGCCAAGAGCTATCCAAACAGGGAGGCCGAGCGACTTACCGGCCCACTCCTCGATGCCTTGTTTGCTCCATTAACCACCCCAGGAAGAGACCCACTCGTAACTTAATTGGGACCTATCCCCCCCCAAAGGATAATTCACTCTGCAGTATTTTCCTATATTATCGACTATAGATTTCTGTTTGGCCTGACTGGGTGTAAATTTGGTTAACAAAAATTATACATTACAATTTTATGAATTATCTAGTTTTCAAAAAATCACTGGTATAAGGTTAAAAAATCAACTTCAAAGCATCGGTGATTTCTTAGAAAAAATATCGATTTGTCAAACACCCATATATTCAAAACAAAATATCGGTTCTTAAAAATATCGATGTTCTAGAAAAATGATCGATTCTTCGAAACATCAATAGTTTTTGATAAAAATATCGATTCTTTAAAACATTCATTGATTTAGAATAAAACATTGTTATTTTAAAGATATTAATGGATAAAATATCGCTTCTTCTAAAGATCGAAAGTTTTAGAAAATTCGATTATTCAAACATAGCTTATTATAGATTAAAACCTATATTTGAAACAACCATGGCTTATGGATAAAATATCGATTCTCTTAAGCATTAATGGTTTTTGGGTAAAATATCGATTCTCAATCATCTATGACTGTAACTGAAAATATTGTTGGGAACAACTATGGCTTTTGTATAAAATATCGATTTTTCAAACATCTATGATTTTGTTTATAATATTGATTATTCTAAACACCCATGGTTTATGGATAAAATATCGATTCTTCAAAAGTGTATCATTATAGTATATAATAATTAAAATTCACTAATTTCGTGGTCCGCTTGACCAATTAATATATTACAATTAATTAAGGTTTTTAGTTGAGATAAAAGCGTAATTGGTCAAGCGGACCACGAAATTAGTGAATTTAATGAATTAAAATTAAGTATACTTCACTAAAGCTCTCCGTGGCCATTTCATTTGTCGCCGAGAATCCAATCCGATTACACGACATTTGAAAAATGGCAAAAAGGAGGGAAAATTCAAAAGGTGGGGTTGAGATGGGAAGTTAGTGTCCGAGTGGATCGAGGTCACGATAGCTCAAGTGGTAGTGTATCGCGTATCATGTCGAAGGTCGTGGGTTCGAATCCAGTTGTGGGCTGAAATGACCTAGATGTCGGAAGCCCCAGTCAAAAAAAAATTGATTATTCTAAACACCCATGGTTTATGAATAAAATATCGATTCTTCAAACATCGATTATTTTAGTTTATAATATTGATTATTCTAAACACTCATGCTTTATGGATAACATATCGATTCTTTAAAAGTCTTTAATTTTAGTTTATAATATTGATTATTCTAAACACCCATGATATATGGATAAAATATCGATTCTTCAAAAGTCACTGATTTTAGTTTATAATATTATTGTAATATTTTAAAACACTCATGCTTTATGGAAAAAATATCGATTCTCAAAAGTCTATGATTTTAGGATATAATATTGATTATTCCAAACACTCATGGTTTATGGATAACATATCGATTCTTTAAAAGTCTTTGATTTTAGTTTATAATATTACCACTCTAAAGACCCATTGTTTATGGATAAAATATCGATTCTTCTAAACATCGATAGTTTAGATAAAATATCAATTATCAACCAACGCTGATTATAGTTATAATATTGAGTATTCTAAACACATATGATTTAATATCGATGATAAACTAAAGCCTATGATTTTAGATTATAACATTGACTATTCTAAACAACCATGGTTTATGGATAAAATATCGACTCTTTGAAACATTTATGGTTTTAGTTTATAATATTGGTTATTCTAAATATGCAAAGTTTTTGGATAAAATATCGATTCTTCAAAAATCGATGATTTTAGGTTACACAATAATATTGGTTATTCTAAACACCCGTCGTTTATGAATAAAATAACGGCTCTTTGAAACATCTATGATTTCTGAATAAAATATCGATTTTTTAAACATCTATGATTTTAGGTGTAAATATTAATTGTTCGAAACATCCATCGCCTGTGGTTAACATCGAGCATTCACCAAAACATTGATAATTTCTTCGTTTTTAAATAAAATATCGTTTCTTTAAACGATGTTTTTTTTATATATCGATACATCGGAACATCGTTGTTTTTTATATAATGTTTATTCGAAAAAAAGTTACAAAATCCATACTTGGATACAGTGATCTTTAAAAAAAATAATGGTAACGTGAAAAATCAAAAGTATTTCTTTAACAATAATTAATTTTTTTATGCAACAAATATACTCTATTATGAATGCCTTTTTTTATCTACATATCAACCCCCCACGTTGTCGTCTTGGCGCAGATGCCGATAAGACGTACAAATTTTCTTTTGCCAGGGATAAAATCGAAGTGTTTGTATTGTAGTACGGTTTTTCCCCCTTATGACCCTATGAGCTTAGAAGGCTTATCCACGTTATATTCTGATAGTAAGGTAGACACATTTCCCAAAAATAAACTTTACCCGAGCATCAGACCTTTTCCTTTTTGATTAGTATATAACATCACCCTGTATGTACTTTTTATAGAGAATGTGATTAGTTAAAGATATCCGTTCTCACAAGGACAATGTTGTACATAGCATCAAAAATGCTCAAAGGGAGACATGAAGTATCTTGATTTGAGCAACGTTGCCTCCCTTTGATTTGCAATTCTGACTGGGTAAAAATTCCATTTATGACTTCAAAAAATAATTAACGGCATATAAGAAAGGCGGTAGAGAGGAAACAGATACAGCAGAAAGAATTTTAAATTGCTTAATGCGAATTTTTTAGATTTATTCTAACAGCCAAATTTTTCACTGTCTTTTCTGCTGACGATAATGTAACAGAACAAACTGAAAGGTGACAAAAAGAAAACCTAATTCGTTTGTTGAAAAATTGCGAATAAATTATTTCACAATAATAACCAACTAAATTATGTTCCTTTTAATAAAAAAATTGTTCTTTGTAAATTAAAAATAAAATCCTCTTATCGGCTGTTTTTGTTCCAGGCCCGAAGCAGAAGATAGTAAACAAGGTAAGTAATTTGCAGCTAATGAAAGCCTTTTCAAAGGAGGTAAATAAATGAGATTCGGTTCCCACTCGTTTTTCGTATTAAAACCCCCGCTGACCGACTTCGAATAAAGACTAATCATTTTTTTAAATCAATTTTAAAAATCAGACATCAAAAGAGCAAAGAATTTTCAATTCCGCACGGTTCTATTTAAAGGTAAGTATTAAAAATACGGTTTAAAAGTCAGATCGGCCGTAAAGCGTCGGCGTTTAAAGTAAATGGCCGGTCCAAAGCAGAATTGCAGAGGACATGATACTATGGAAATTCCATTGTTCTGCTGTTAACAATCGACGTCGCGTGTCATGCCTTGGCTCCATACAGAGAGCGTGTAGGAATGCCGCCAGATTTAAGAATAGTACTCGGACACGACAGGTAGATTCAGCGTCTCTTGTTCCGCGTTGTAGGGGAAGTGTAAATTTTTGATTCCAATAGCCGTCAAAATATGACTTTTGTGTTTTGTGAGTGTATTCATTAGAGTGAAAGGGGAGGGGCTGATGATGAAATAGCAACCCCATCGCCCCTCGAGCTGTGTACGTGACTTCGGTCGATGGTCGAATATATNTTTTGTTCATTTTAGGGTGAAGAATCTACTGGAGAAGTTTGTAGCACGAGTAGCAATTCACCCTGTATATATATATAATATATATATTATATATATAAACTACCCCATCGACCCCAATTAGATTAGTTTGTTATTGTATGGAGGTCTATGGAGGAATATTGAGTACTTCATATACTAAAAAGAATGAATGCAATGTATATAGGTGAGAATGTATTTATTTGTGTGAATGAGCATTGAATTTGTCTTGTATATTCCGCATGCAAACAATCGGGGTCAAACTCATCGATAATAAGGAACATCGTAATTTCTTTGCCATAATCGAAACGCCAAGTTAATCTGAACTGGTTGATGTTGATGTAAAAGTCGAATCGAAAAAAAGATGTAACTATCGGTATTTTATACGCCTCGGTGTTTCGATGGAGGTTATTATCATTGACATTTCATGAATTCACCTTCGTTGTCTCGATACATCGATGTTTTTATCATCGATTTTAATTAACCTCCTTGCATCAATGTAGTTTGTTCAAGGTATTGATGTTTTATCATAGTTTTTCAATATTATACCCTCGGGATTGTTATGTAGCGATATTTTAACATCGATATTCAGTGAGTACACGCTCAATGTTTCGATACATCGATATTTTCTCGTTAGAGTTTTATAATCGATATTCCATGAATATACCTTTGATATTATCATGCATCGATTTTTTTATCGTCGATATTTAATAAATACACTTTGATTTCTTGATTCTTCGATGCTTTATTGTAGTCATTCTATGAATGTAATATACATTTTTGTATTATACGCTGTATGATTAGAAGCATTGATGTTTTCCCATAATTATTCTGTGATTATACCCTCGGTGCTTGTATCCATTGACCTTTTATCACCGATATTCCACTTATGTACCCAATGATTCAATACATCTAGTATTATCATTGATATCCCATGAATATTCCCTCGGTGATACGATTATTTATGTTTTAACTTAGCTTTGCTATGATTACATCCTCGGGGTTTCGATGCATCGTTACTCTGTGAATATACGCTCAATATTTTGATAAATCGATATTTATTCATTTGTGTTTTATGATCGATATTACATATTATTCGATCGATATTATTATCATCGATTGATTTTGTATCGTCGAAATTCCATGAATACGCCTTCGATGTTTTACACATCGATACTTTATCATAGAAATTTCATAAATATAACCTAGCAAATTAATAGAAATGATAAATGATGGATTGAGTGTGGTGTTCAATCCTTTTTAAAAAGATAGTTCCTACTCACAGTAAGTTGTTTTGCAACGATCAGGATTTCGAGCCTTTTAGCTCATCATCAGGTTGAAGGACTTCTACAACCACGCCTCTCGACATGAATGGCCAAAGTGAAACCGCTGATACCTCCGCCAACGCGACGTTCCAATTAGCAGCTGATTTTTTTAATGGCGCTCAATTTGAACGTGCTATTTTTAAACAAGAAGGTTTTAGAATAGCTTTTAGAAGTACGGGTTCACTTAAAAACGTGAAAAAATTTATTGTTGGAAACAATTATGGCTTTTGTATAAAATATCGATTCTTCAAACATCTACGATTTTAGGTTAAAATCTTGATTCTTCAAAACACCGAAGTATATGCTTAACAACGATTTCAAAACGTCGATACCCTTACGACTAAATATCTATTCATCAAAATGTTAACGGTTTCATAGTAAAATATCTATTATTTGAAAAAATTATAGTTTTCGTATAAAATATCGATACTTTTTTAGCGTCGATAGTTGTTTACGCCCGGAGGACCAAAAATTAAAACGCAGTGATCTGCATAAACTTTAAAGATTCCAAACAGAAATTGAAGGCCCAAAATAAATAAAAGAAAAAGAAATCAAATTCAGATAATGGGTGACACACCTCGTCCTCCTCGTCGACAACCCGTGGACTTCGGGCGAAGCTTCAATTCAACAACAGAAAAATTGGCGAACGCCGTTTTTCATCGATATCCTTTTAAAATACGTTTGTTGTTTCAACTACAGATATTTTAACATTGATATTTCATTATATAACCAATATTTTAATGGATCGATTTTTAACATCGATTCTCAATGCATATACAATCGATATTTCGATGCAGAGATATATAATAATCGATATTGCATATTACCTCGCTACGTGTATCTATCGATGTTTCGATAAATCGAGCGCTCATCTTCGATATGCGATTAATGCACGTTCCTGTTAATATACGTTCGACGTTTTGATCCATCTATCTTTTATGATCGAAATTCTTTTAATATAGTCTCGATATTGCGCTCTATCGATATTTTTTTTGAAATATGGACAATTTATATATTCAAGATATAAAAACCATCGAAAATTCGTCAAAACCCGTCAACTATTAGGCTCGTCGATAATTGATCCAATAATATCGATATATATTATATGTTGTATTAATATATGTATATCTTAATAATTGCTGATATTTTTTTAAATATTATAGTGAAGAATACGCCAGTTTATAATTTCTTTAAAAATTTGTAGAAGAGTGGCATAAGCGGCGAGTAAAATTTTTTAATATTAAAACGTGATTTTCTTCGTTTTTATTCCGAGATAAAAATTTTATCGGGTGTTGTCATGTGGAATGTTTTATTGGACCTTTTCAATGCGTTCTGCATTATTTGACGATTGGATTATATTTACCGAGAATTTCATCATCTACCAATAATATCAGTGAACGAGCATAGACGCCTAAATCTGATGTGCATCTTAAAACAGATCAAGTTTGATGATCCTTTGATCATATTTTAAAGTTAATTAATCTTTATGAAGGGTATTGGTTGAGATAAAAAGTCAGTGTCACGAGCGGGATTCGAACCCACGACCTTCGGCTAAATACGCTACTGTTCTACCACTTGAGCTATCGTGACTTTTATCCGCTCGGACACTTTTCACAATGTCAAATGTCAAAATTCAGAAAAACATGGTACTCTCAACACGACACGCAAGAATGGCACAATTACACAGAAGACAAATACTTTGAGCCATGAAGATGATCTCAATAAAGATCGAAACGTTGGCACGATAAAGGAAATGCTTTTCTGAAAACCTACGTCACACCAGACCGCATCTCACGATTTCTGAATAATTATCGATTAACGGTCACTAATCACCACACACCTTTCATAAAGATTAATTAATTGAAAAAAGTTAATTGGTCAATCGGACCACGAACTGTAATGGAGTTATTTTAAAGGTTTGATTCGACCTATGTTGTCTTTTTTTCTGTGCGGATTGGCGCGTCGCAAGTTACTCAAAAGGATTGCGGGTACGAGGTGTAGCGTAGGCAACTTTTTTCAAAAGGTCACATTTTATTTCCTTGAATGAAGTTCAGTTCAACTGTAATATAATATGAGTGAATTTATTATTATTATCTTTGCGTTTATGGTAGGTGGGGGTATTAGATCATCCAAAGCGTAACTGATCCTATCCTTCATACTTTATATGCGTTTAAAGGTAGCGTTATGCGCGTTTACTCTCGCCTTTTTTATATCAAAATGTTTTAAACGGTTATTACTTTATTTTTTACTTAATTGCCTTGTGAAAAAGCGTTTTGAAATTGTATTTCATCTCGTACGCCATACTTCAAGGAGTTTTCCCCCCGGTGACTTACGGTTTCCCAATTGTAAGGGGATTTTCTTTAAGAGGAGAGCCTCCGGGGTTCTGATGTTTGAGTAATGGAGAGATCACAAACGCATTATTAGGCCGGAGTTCCTGTAATTTGCCACTGCCTCCGAGGATTACGGCACGATTCATCATGCCGCCCGGGGAGCTCCGTTTCAATTTTGGGCTCGTCCAGCATCGCTAATTTAATTTTAGAAAAAGCCGGCCGAGACATGTCGCCGTGTAATTTGGTCGTGTTGAAGGTTGCAAAAAAAACCTGATTTCTCTCTTAAAAAATTACTCTGTTAAAGAAAACTGAAAGGTTACAGCATTGATATGAGATATCATCTCTCACCCGTCCCTAACCTTAAAATTAATTTCACTAATTCCATGGACCGCTTGACCAATTAATATATTACAATTAACTAAGGTTTTTAGTTGAAATAAAAAAGTCAATGGCACGAGCGGGATTCGAACCCACGATCTTCGGCTAGATAGGCCGCTGCTCTACCACTTGAGCTATCCTGACCTCAATCCAATCTGACATTCCCATCTCAACCTCACCTTTTGAATTTTCCCTCCTTTTTGCCATTTTTTTAATCTCAACTAAAACCTTAATTAATTGTAATATATTAATTGGTCAAGCGGACCACGAAACTAGTGAATTTAATAAATTTAAAATGAAGTATACTTCACTAAAGCTCTCCGTGGCCATTTCATTTGTCGCCGAGAATCCAAT